CCGCCGGGATTCCAGGGAATCAAATAACTGGCGGGAAACAAGTTGAGGAATCCTCCGGGTGACCTGCGGGCGCACCCAGGCGCCGTGTTCTCGCCATTGTCTCAGTACGTTAACCCCTTTCGTCAATCACTCAACTAAAGTACAAGGACATCCAGACTAAGCACGAGCAATCGAGTAGTTGACCCCAAACCTCGGTGAGAGAGGCGTGGGCTACCGGAGAACCATTGACATTGTGTGAAACAGTCTGCCACCAAAAACATACATAGCTCCTTAAGAGACTCTTATAAAGTAACGGAAATAAGAAATGACCAAAACAAACAAACAAACAAACAAACAGACACAAACCATGTACCATCTCTCTGTATGTATTTTGTACCACGTATGTGTAAGAATGCTTGTATAGTTTCAGTAGGACTTTCAATTTGTAAACTCTAAGGGACTGTTCGATATTTACGGGGGGGGGGGGGGGCTGGTGTGTAGTGGGGGAGGGCCATGGAAAAAATTGGGGCTGAGGGGAGGGCTATGGAAAATTTTTTTCATGATACGTTGTACGATCCTAGGTTCCTAGATTTCAAACTGTACCGTATACTAGTATCTGTCATTACCCCTACAATTCTAATGGTATCAGCCATACACGGGGATACGCCCCATGATTCTGTTCGAAATCAAAGACTGTGGAAGAAGAAAAAACAAAAGGATTTTGTTGAAAAGAGAAGCAACGTTCGAGCAGTTAGAAATTGTACATCCAATACTATGGATGCTGTTGCAACCGCGTTATGTAGAGGGCACAATGGACTCGAGGTCTGTGGGTTTAGGGATCGCACAAAGAACGCTGCTGTACAAAGCAGTCTGTCGGTTCCGCTCATGGTGGACAAAAAATTGGCCCAATCTGTCATCTTTGACGCCAAAAAATCGGCGAGTAATGAAATCGGCGTATAATATAGGAACAGCTGGGAAGTTGCATAGATCTCAAGAAAATCAGCGGAAGTTTGCGGCGGAGTCGATTAAAAACGGTACGCACAAACTTGAAAGGCGGCCGAAGTGGCAAAGGCGCTAGCTATGTAAGGTTTTCTTGACAGTACGACCATATTCGTACGTTGTTACTTATTATAATTATCGGAAAACCTCTACGCGCTGTCAGAATACGACTACACCTCATTTTGTAATTGTTGCATATTGTACTCGTGAGATCAAGTCAATCAGAAGATTGGTAAACTGTGGGATAGTAACATTACACTCAAAGCGGCGAAGGGCGGCCTGGGCACCGGCGTGCCGGATCAAACGGTGATGTTTTGCAAGTGTTAACTATTCTATCTGTTCACCGTATTGTTTAGTAATACCATTTTTTGTGAAGTGTTAAACTGCTACGTACCTTGCTTAGATGAACTGATGAAGTGTGTGGTTTTCATAGGTGGTTTCTCTCATCGGAGACGGTAGGAAATATACTAGGAATGTTTGAACTTTCAAGGTGACGTAAGATTAGACCCGTGTTAAAAATGTTTTATTTTTGCCGATTTCGTCACCGTTATTCTGTGTATATGCTTGTTTATTTTTCTCGTAGGACGTAGATTCCTACTAAAAGTTTTGTTGTGGTAAACTCTTTTTCTGCGCCCATTTCGTATACAATACAACATAGAATTGAGGCTTGTGCATTCGATCTCGACCGGACTTGCATATGACGTCCCACGCCCCCCTAAAATATCAAACTAAAACCATTGAATGTGTAATTTTACAGCAAAAGAGATGTCATTAAACTAAGCTAATTTGAGCAGCAAAATTGTCCCTTAAAAATGCAGGAAATAATGTTGAGGGGGTCATCTGTTATTTCCCCCCCAACTGTCGCGCCTTCGGCGCTCGACATAATCTCACGGCAAACAAACTTTACAAAGTTGAAATGACGGACAGGAAAAATCAGGCTGGCTAGAACACTGATTATTAAGAAATAACAAAAAAATTAATACTAAAGCATGTAGGTCTAAACCTAGCACATTTAACATGTACAGTGACTGAGAAACGCCGGTGCTTGTTCAGCAGGCGTCAGCTATCCGAATTGGACGCCGTCGCCCTGACGCTCAAGTCTGACCTGCTTTGTGTTAATTGTTGTCTTATAAAACGGGATTTGTTTTTACCATTTTTACATAACACCTATAGGGGGATGGCCATGGAAAAAATTTTGAGATGGGGGGGGGCCTACATCAATTTCGCATCCACATAGCCTAGCGGCGACCAATGGGTGACCAGCATTCCGCGCCACGCCCACTTTGCGGTCGATTCCATTCGATAATGGGGTTGAACAGCATCCTTCCTTACGGCGCGGCAGGTAATCGGAGTTGGAAATGTCAGATAAACAATGTTAGAATTGGTGTATTTGGTGTGAATGCAAGTACTGAAGTAACGGGTTCCTTTCTCAGCACTCGGTATACAGAGGTGAGGTGGCTTCCGTCCTAGATCTCCAGTGCCGAAGTTACGTCAACACTTGGTGTCCAGTGTCGGCGGCTTCAGCACTGGAAACTCGGAATCGGCAAATCAAACCTTGTCTTTAAAAAGGGTATCGAGATGCTGCCACTCATATTTTCGAGATCATACCGCCTGGGTAACAAAGTTTAATCGGGACAACAAGGTTATCGGCAGGACAGGACTGCAAGGCCTCTTTTCTTACATTTTCACAGACAAAGACTTGGCCTAAGATAACGTTACTGTTTTGTACGCCGCCAGCCGACGTAAGCACCAGAAGCCCAGTGCCGAAATGGTTTAACTCGGCTCGGTAGTTATTTTGCTCCAACTATTCAAAGACACAGAATTTCTGAAAACAATTTACAAATGTATCTTTTGAACAAGTTTGAGAAACATCTTTTTCAACCATATCTTGCTGAAGCGCCAGTTGTGGGTGTGGCCGAAATGCTGCCCGCCTATTAGTCCCCGCTAGGCTGGCTTGGATGGGAAATTGAGGTTCCGGGGGGGGGGGCGTCGTT